TCTTTCCGAGTTCAGAAAGAAGTTTTAAATTACTTGGAGAGTTTTAAATTACTCAGCCTGTTCTGAGTCCTGCTGTCCTGTTTCAGAAATAAACACAGTAAAGTTGTATGTCTTCTAATCTAAAAGAAGCAAGGGATGTGGGAAAGCAAAATGATGCCAGATTTCTTCCCTTGAAAAAAAACCAAACCAACAAAGCACAACAAAACTAAAGTGCAAGAATGAAAATGACTTTAAGACTGTTGATTAAATGAGCAACAAATCAACTATTTTCTAAGTACAGTACATATGCTACAGTTATGCACTCACCTTTAAGAACACTCAATCAGTAAAAAGAATGGTTATGAAAAAATATTATTGCAGTCTGTAGCTTTCTGGCATTTCCATAGATGTATCTTTTATTAAAAAAAAAAAAGTTTAGTCACAGTAGGGGGGGATAAATGGCATATGGCTTTTAATTTAGAATACAACTTTCAAGAGCATTTAAGACAATGAGACAGCAACTGTGGGAATATGCCAGTGGGAAAACAGCTTTTTATGTAGGTGTGTGCATACTTTTCACTTAACAGCTCTTTGGCTTTCACTGCCATCTTTATGTTAAGAACTTGCTTACACAAGTTGTGCTGGTTATTCTCATTTTAGCCTTACATAGTAAAACTTCACTTCCCATCAACATGAAATTTTGAGAAGGAAAGAAAAGGAAGGGGAATAAAACCCCAAACAAACCAAGCTAAAGGTCCTAATGCTAGTGAAGAAGCAATTGTTGGTTGGAATGCAAAATAAAACCTTTCTTTCTCCCTCCACAGGGTTGAAAGATCTACTGACCAAGTAATCAAGCCAGTCAATGTGGAAGCACTGTCAAAGTGGGTTGGGAAGATACCTGCTGATGTTCTGCAAGATATGCCTGTGATTGCACCCATGCTAGCAAAACTGGGCTATGATCCATATGCCAATCCACCGAATTATGGAAAGCCAGATCAAAAAGTTGTGGAAAACACAAGGCGGGTAAGGCATTTTTGTGTGTTTAATTATTGACCAAATGGATGCGAGCTATAGAACAGAAGAGTCTTGTGTTTTGTTTGTCTTTTTTTAAGTCTGTTCTAAGACCTTTTAATACTTAGCAATGTTTTCCTCCCTGAGGGGGGGAAGAAGGAAGAAATCTGAGCACTGAAAGTCTGTCTCCTGCTGTTTGTCTTCAATTTGGTTCATCTTCCTTTACCTCAACCCCAGGCTTGAGCTGTGTTCTTTGGTGTATGTAGCCGAACCTCTTGAGAATTGTCCAGACAGTTGGGGAACTAGTTAGTAGTAGAAAAAAGGGAGCTTTCTCACCTGGGCATCAAACTTGATTGATGATCTCAGCTTTTTAACATGAAGGTTGGCAGAAGATCTGTCACAAAATCACACCCCAAATACTTGGTAGAATTTGAAAAGTGACCCATGGCAAGTAGCCCAAGATGATCATAATGTCAAATTTTCCAATTCTTTGTTGTCCTTTGGAGAAGAAACAAAAGATGAAGAAAGGTCTGGTGCTGATTAACCTAAACTTAAGGATTTTAGTCTGAATTTAATGTCATTGGAATTTGAGTAGTTAGGCTATACAGCTGTTTATCCCTGGAGGTATCCATTGAAAAGTTCATTACCATTGTCTGAAATAAGAATAATGAACTGTCTACTTCTGTTCTTTTAAGAATGTATACTTTATTAAAAGAAGGTGACTTCTGCTGCGGCAGCAAAGTAATAATTGGAAAAATTGAATTAAACAATTTAAAAGGACTGTCTTCCACTAGCCTTCCGATATTAAAAAAAAAAAAAAAAAAAAAAAGCTGGTATGCTGATGGGCTAGATACTAATGAAAAAAAAAATGGCTTTTTGTGAAGTCTGTAAACACTTTGCATTCTTTCTTCTTAGGAGTCCTCCCTGGGAAACTTCCATTAAACAGTTGATCAATGTGTTAAAGGGTGGCAGGTTGACTATTTTAATAGTTGTTTGCTTGGCATGGAAAAGGTAACCCCCACTTCTTCTGGTAGGGGTAGCGTTAGCAGTTTATAGGTTTCCTGGTACTTAGTGTTTTCAAAGGCTCACAAACAAGCTAACTCTTCTGCACTCAGTTCAAACACTTACCAAAAAAAAAAGTGTTCAATACTACTTCATGGAGCCTTCAAAACAAAATCCTCATGCACCTACCCATATATACTATTTAGACAGTGACTCGGATTCAAATTTGTGTTGTAGTGCAGTAATTTAAGGTTGGCTATCTCTTACTGATACGATTTAAATAAGTATTTACAGTATGGTAACTTCCCTGAGGCCTCTACCTGTGCATGGGAAGCTCAGTCTGAGTTGTAAAAATTGTATGGATTTCAGTCGCTTACTGTTGGGTGGCTTCTTGAAATCTATTTCAGTTAAAAATGCAAGAGAGAAATTCAGGTAATAAATGAAGCCACAAGCATACCTTTAAAAAATTAACGCTTAATTTAAAAGGCGAAAGTGTATTGAGGCTTTTTCACAAGTTTGCTTTGAAGCATAATTACTTTGTTTACTAATGTTAAAAAGAGCTGTGAAAAACTGGAGGTTACTGTTACAATAGCAGATCCAAATATTGCAAGCATATGGAATGCTTGGTAATATTTTGACTGCTGTTTTAATTTAGTAGTTTTACTTACAGCTCAAGATAGCATTTTAATTTTGTTATTTATTGTAGTACCCAGTGTATATTTTCCTAGTCACTTGTTCTTTAACAGAACTACTTCTGCATATATCGTTTGTATAGATAAAATGAGGGAGATGTCCTGAATTAAGACTAAAATAAAAAAAAAAAGCAAAGGGATTAAAGCTGGCTAATCTTAAAAACTTACAATATTCCTTTTGAAAATGGAGAAACATGAGGCTTTCAAATGTCGTGTACCCCAAGGAGCCATTTAAAACTGTGGCTCAAATCAGTGTTCGAGTTTGTGTTAGGCTTGTTTGAATTCCTCCCCAGTCGCTTTGCTTTGTTTCCTCCCAGCTGGTGCCCAGCAAATCCCTGCTCAGACCACTGGGTCCTCTTCTTTCTCTGTGACTATGGAAATGTTGATGTCCTGACTCCTTAGGGTTTCAAGATTTAAAGCTTCCCAACGCCCAGACCAGTTTGCTGCTTGGGTTGCCTGATTCTCAGGGCAGCAGGCTCATCTCCCTCTCTAGAAGTGCCAGGCTTCCTGGGTGTCGTGCGTCTTGCATAGGAAATTGCCAAAATGCCGGCCACTGAGCTTGGCCTTAAACCAAGTAAGTTTTGAAATAACTAATATTCTGGTTGGTGATCAGTGGGAGCTGACTTGCTTCTGAAAAATGCTTTGTTTTGTTTTGTTTTCTCCAGGGCTTTATTTTGTTTTTATTTGGGGACAGGGGACGGATATTTCAAAACACTTCAAGGTGTTTGGGGAAAGTCAAGGGGGTGTGGTGTGTGTGCAGAGGGAGGGAACTGTGCTGTGTTAGTTTTGCCCATCAGGGATAATATATGTTGCCCTGTGGGTTTCCTCTTCTCTTCCATGAACCTATGCTAATTTATTTCTTACTGCTACATCTTGAAGAAGAGGGCATTTATTAAAAAAGAAAAAAAAAAAATCCTTCATCTAGATTTTTTCAGCCTTTAGGAACTGGCACTTGGCAAGTTAAGTGTGTTACTGTATACTCATAGCTACTGGATTTGTAAACTACTGGAGCACTGCTTTTGTACCTGCTCCCTTTTTCAATTTCTTCACCTGGGATAGTCTTTCACAAAGTTTGGTACTGGGTATGTTGTTGGAGATGAAGCTGTCCAAATAAAATCTTCCCAAAGTTATTCTTCAGTACATAATAAGAATCTATATAAATCTTGCATGTAACTGTTTCTTGCACACTTTGTGTTTGGACGCTGTTCTTTTATATTTATATTTGCAGTCTCCAAGAACTTCAAACTGAGCACAGAACTTTTAACTGTTTTCAGTGAATAAAATCCAAGTTTAGACTTCTAAAGCTGCACTGTTTGGGGTTCGTACAGTAACCCCTTAGAGTGACTAACCTGAATTACCTGACACTTGCTACTCCGATAGCGTCGTAGTTTCTTAGTCAGTTTAAAATGGCATTAGCTAGCACTTCAGGTGAAGGAAGTTGCTCTGTGTGGCAAACGGAAAGCAACAGTAAGGGGGAAGGACTGATTTTTGTGTGTGTGGTTTTGAGGGGGAGTTTTTCAGTTTTGTGGGGGTTATGTAATGCTGGCTTAAATTGGTTGTGGAGGTTGCAACAACAGGGTGGAAGCCCAACACCACTGAAAGTACTGTCAGGGGAGATTCTGGCTCCACCTAAAGATGGAACAACACTGTGTCATCTAGTTCATTGCTGTCAGATATGTTAAAAAACCAAATAAATCTGTTCTTGTTGTTACGGAGAGTTCTTGTTTTGTATGATTAAAAGCATTTTTATACTATACATACAAAACCATAAAGATAAGTAGAATGAAAGTATGAAAATTGGTCAGGATGCAAAAGACACGTATTGCCCAGTTGTAGAACATAATTTAAAAATATTCCAAACTTTAAACTGCATGATGTCTTTGTTCTAAAACGTACTTAAAAGCCACCTGTAGAACTGGATTTATACTACACTGCACTAGCTGCACAGAGCAAAATCTATCTCTTCTTGGAAAAGACTACAAATTAGACTTAACAGGGAAAATACTGTTCAGCAACTTCACAGCTGCTGCTGTTAGCCCCAAAGGTAAGAACCAACGGTGTGAGGGTGCCTAAAACAAGTACTGGAGAAAAATCAAAAGGAATGACTAATGTGGTGCAAAAAGCTTCCCCTAAGCTTTCTAAACAGTTAAGTTCTGTTTTGGTTTTTTTCCTCCTTTTCTGTCCCCCTGCCGGTGACTTTCATACGTACAGGTTAATTTTTTTTTCTTCAGTCTGGAAACAAAATTATGATTTTCACCAGCTAAAGTGCAGTGCTTGAGTTACAGCTTCTTCGTGCTTGTAGGTAATGCAAAGAAAACAACACTCTGCTAAATTTGGATTTTTCACTTTAATGCTACCTGCTCCTGAATACAGCACAAAAATAATAAGATACAACCGGTGTTTGTACTTTGTCATCTTAGTTCTAGTTTTGTTTTAGGAAGCAGCAGAGTGTGAATTCATCTCTTCTTATGTTGGTCTCCAGGTGCTATGTGGTGTTAAGAAATAAGACATCTCTGAAAGTTTCTGCACTGGTGGAGTAAAATCTAGCACAAGTATAACACATTTTTCTGATGTTTTCAATAACAAAGCCGTTAACTTTTTATTTATCTGTTTTACGTGGGCCTGACAATAGTACCTTTTATGACATATTATCTTGTCTCGGCTGAGGAACACAGAGCAGAGAGAACAAGGTCTGAATAGCATTGTGCTATTCAGCACATCTCTGCACGTGACCTCCTCAAGAGGCAACCTTTAGTTATTCAGTGACTGCAGAATTGTGCTGTTCTGTGGCTTTTCTTACAAGTCTGTTGCTGGTCTGGTCATTTTATGATGATTGCAAGGGTGCCTTCATTATAGATACATAACTGACTAATTTTTTCCCCCCTCTAGAGTTTTAAGAAAATCTACATCCTGAACATAAAGGGAAATAACATCCTGTAACTAAAAGGAGTTTTCATCTGCAGATTATGCAGAAAATGCAAATAATTAAGCTGTCTGAACTGGTAGCCCAATCACTATACGATGAATTACAAAAGTAGAATCACTCTGTGTTAGAAGAGTGCCTGATATGTCCTTATCGATATTGTGAGTTTGTGTAAAAGTGTATGTCAGCAGTTTAATGGAATATACTGAAAGCAGAGAACAGCTCATAACTGCAAGACTCTGACTTATGCCCAGTAGAAACTGGCTTATTGTTATGTTATGATTGGCTAAGTGGTTTCCTTTCACATCTGTAACATATTACATCAGATTTTCTTTGGCACATACTTCCCACTAAATGAATTTGTATGCTTGGAATACATATTCCAGTCACTTCTT